CCAATTAGCGTTTCCGCGTGATGGAGCCCTTCTTTCCTGGAGATGGCTGAACCCCTGCCTGCCGACGGGAAGTGGTGAATGAATTCCTTATTTCGCTTTGCTTGCGTGCGCGGCTTTTGATTTCCCTATTAAACTGCCTTTACTTCAACCCATGAGTTTTCTCACTTTTACCCTTCCGATTCTCTCCCCCATCTCACCGGAGGGGAGTGAGTGAGCGGCTGTGTGGGGCTTAGTTGCCGGCTGGGGTTAAGCCACAACAGCTTGAAAGGGGCTCAGAAATGCATGGCTTGGTTTTTCAGTCAAACTTCCACTGAAAACAGCAGTGGAAAGTGTGGGTGCTCAGCATCTCTCCTTCATGACACACCATGTTTATTCTCATAGATACACGTTAGATATAGCTGTCCTAAAAGACATTTCGCAGGACTGCCTAGCTTCCTCAAAAACTGCAGCACTACCCAAGCCATTATCTCGAGTACATTATTTATAACAAAGGGAGGTTGATTAGTTTCTCCAGGGTGCCAGTCCTTCATGCGTCATCATGCTTCTTTTAGAAGCAACATTTCTCAAATAGAGGTTTCACCCTGCAATTAGCTCAGAGTACTGGGAATTTCCAAAATGACAGAGCAGGTGGAATTTGGTTTTCATGCAGATAAAAACTGTATTTGTATTATTCGCTACAACCTCTTATGGGAGTCAAATGTATCTTGTGCCTAAATCTCAGGGCTTTATGGAAGGAAGATTAGAGGTTTAAACCAGCAAGGGCTGAAGTGTTAGAAGATAAACAGATATTATTTAAATCATCCTAAGCCACTTCCTGGTTTTCCCTCTGTTGTAAGAAGGGAGATAGTTCTTGATGAGAAACAAGCAGAGTTCAGCTGCAGAAACAGAACGGAATAAAGGACATAGAAAATGAAAATGAACACAAAATGAGATCCTCAGGAAGCAAGTGGTCTGCTTAAAGTGAAAAGACTTCATGCAGAGTGTATATGAAGCAATGCATGAGGCTACGTGTAAGGAGGCAGACTAAAGGAGGACTATGGAATCAACTCCAAGCTAGAGCAGAATTTCCTCCACCCATTTAGAGGAGATGGCAAATACTCAAAGTTGCTTAGAACAGGGAGAAAGTACATTCCCTACTGCAGTAAAACACAAAGCCATGCAAGTGTGAACATCCAAAATACAGATATGGTGATTTATTCTATGCAAACTAAGTGAATCATTCAAGTCTCTTACTTGAGCTGCTGGAGCCAAGGAATGATACGCTTCATATCATCATTAACAGACTTCTCTATGTCATCGAGTGTCAATTGATCTACAAGAACATTAGGTGAGTGAATGGTCTTAACATCTGCTCTTCAAACAAAATTTTGACCTTTTAATGAATGTGTCTCATCTAATTTAACAAACAATCACAGAATCACAGAACAGCCCAGGTTGGAAGGGACCTCAAAAGATCATCTGGTCCAACCTTTTGTGGGAAATGGAGCCTCGATGAGATTATCTAACACCCTGTCCAACTGCATCTTGAAAACCTCCAGTGATGGGGACTCCACCACATCCTTGGGGGGGTTGTTCCAGTGACTGATTGTTTTCACTGTAAAAAAATTTCTTTCTTATATTGAGACAAAACCTCTCCTGGTGCAACCTGTAATTGTTGCCCCTTGTCTTCTCCATGTGGCTCATTGTGAAGAGAGAGATTAAGATACACAACAAATGATCCATAATGTATAATATGGTTGTAAAACCACAGCAGTATGTTATTAGGCAAATAAACTAAAAGAACTCACTTCTTTTCTTAAGTAATATGAAATCTAAGTTAAGACTTGAACAGTAACTCAAGATGTATAAGGTCACATAATACAATTCTCAATCAGGTCCATATGAAATGACTGCATCCATTAACAGCACAACCCAGGAATCATGAGTCATAAAGAACATGCATTGCAATGATGCCTAAAAATATTTAGTTTGTGGTCCTCTTAAAATATACTTAACTGAACTGTGACTCTTAAGCACAAAGATCCACTTCTCTGTTCCTCAAACTCAGATACCTAGATGATGAAACAAGTGCTGCGCTCATCTGCATTATTCTTATTTACTTACAGAATTTCGCAGATTTGACAGAATTGTTCACACAAAATTACCTCATAATGCAGGATTCTTGCAAGATATTAAATACAATCTGGTTTTGCATCTACTTACCAACACCATATAGCATCAGTTGAAACATTCCAGAGTGGAGATCAACAAATACATGTAGGCACTCTGATCGTCCACATGGTTCCAAAATCGGAATTACAAGAGTTGGAAGAGCCGTCTCAATGAATGCTAAATAAAAATTGATGTTAATAATTTGACACAAGATTCAAGCTCATCATATTAAAACTTAGCCCATTATAACCACAAAACCTGTTTCTTTTTTATAGGAGCAATCTTCACTTGCACGTTATTATACTGTTAACATAAAGAGGGAACTGAATATAAGAATTTTTCTGTGAAAACAGTGCTAGTAACAAATCAATGAGAAAAGGCAGACCAAACTTGAAGGAGATTATTAATCCTTGAGTATCTTTTAACTCACTGCTTCACGATTAGAAGCTCAATTTGAATCCCAGTAGTTTCAACAACAGTTTAAGCAAAGTCTCATCCAAAACTGGCTCAAGACAGTGAAGGATTTGCTTTCAATTCTGAACACATGTAAGTTTTACAGTAGACCACTTTTAACCCTTCTACCCAGACTATAATGTTCTACCAGCTTCATCTATCATACTACATTTAGAGATATGAATATTTTATAATTATCAATGCAGAATATTTTAAAGCTGTCTTGTTAATTCTGAACACATCTCCCTTTATTTCTTCATATTTTTAATTTAAATTAATAAAAACAAGAGATGTCAAGAAAAAAGGAAACCATTCCTAGCGCAAATGGAAATTAACTTGAAACAAACTTCAGCAGAAAACACATACAATTGTCATTAACGTTGTAGCTCTTAAGAATGGCTTTCAGCTCCTGGAGTTTTTGATGAGATCTTGCATGGACACTGTCTATTAGGAGTTTTTCTATTGATAGGTGGTCAATCTGTAAAAAAGAAATGTACTTGAGCAAGTTCAAATTTGATGTGTAGACTTTATGCATTAGCACACTGGAACAAAGCTACATAACTTAATAAAACAATCACTTAAGAAAGAATTTGCTGAGAACTGTGGTGAACCAAATGAACTATTAACTTGAGTATTTGGATCACTATGAAATACAACAAACGAACTTAAGATTCTGCCTGTGCAGCAGGCAGTGGGACGGTTTTTGAGAGAAGACTAAAAGAAAATTTAAAAGAAAAGAAGTTTCACAAACTGTGCTGTTACCACTCCCTGTGCAGACCTACTTGTTCTGGATCAAGGATGGAGTATTTTCCAGCTTAGCATGTGCCCATTTATAACTAGCTTAAGCTAAGGAAAAAAACCCCCAAACCAAACCACAAAACCCCCCAAAACAACACTCTACTAGAATATGGTTGCCTCTACACAAACACATATGTATCTGTAGCATGAAATACAACACACTAGTTTTAGTCCTGTTAACGGGGTAACAATGTAGTCAGCGAAGATGCAGTGGCAGACAGTGAATATGAGCAACCCCTCCCAACCCAGGAGTGGCTAGAGGCTTGTTGCACTGCCAGTGCTGAAGCTTATGCCACCTCTTATATTAACTATAGCTTACTTGTGCAACCTAAATTAAAGCATTTGCATTTATATCCATTCACATTACAGGCATATTATTTACATATTAAGCAAAGCTACAGATTACTGCAAAACCTTCTTCTAGTCAACCTCATATTGCTTTGAAAACTGTTCAAGGTGAATTAAACTCAAATTTTATTCTAGCATAAGAGATAAATGCAGAAGAGGTTTATATCAGGACAGAACTATACAAAATTTCAGTACGTGTCTTCGTATATACCAGAATGACCTTCCCCTAAAGGCTAGCTTTCCAAGACAAGGCCTTAAAAATCAAGTGTTTATCCATCCACAAGAGCATTTCAACTCAGCAGCTGCTGAGTTAAATCTTCCTCACAAGTGACTACAGGTTCTATAGCTACATCCAATTTTCAGTAGGTTAATGTATAATAACCTGCTTAGACAAATATATTTGTTCACGCCACTGTTTTATATAGTATCTTAAATAAACAGAAACATAGTGTGCTATCTACGTCATTACAGGTGAGATCATTATTCAAACACTAGAACAGCAGTGTATATACCAGAGCTGATAAATTTTTTAAGCTCAGAGCAAGTAGTTATAAAGAGAGTCAGCATTAACTTTGATAAATCTCAAATTTACAGTGGTCTCGTATCTTAATCTACAGTCTGTAGACCTGATTCAGTGAGCTTGGATTGCGTCAGTTCCAGTGGAACTTCAGCAGATGTTTTAGATGAAGCACATTTTCCTGGATTTAGGCATAAATACAGTATCTTCACTAAATTAACTGTATATTTAGTAGCCTAAATAGGCTAATTTAGGCTTAAATGAGTAAATTTAGTATATATTTACTATACTAACAGTAGAATTTCTACTCTAGAAAGAGTAGGATGCTACTATGCTCCACTAAGTTTCCCACATTCCTCTGTTGCCCAAACATATGAAGTTCTTGACGTTTACCATACAGAGACTTGTCTGTCAGACTTGGTAAACAAGATGGGCCAAGAGGCTCAAATACGAAGTATGTACAGTAGGTGAAGACTATCATCAGTAGAAGGTTCTGTAAGACAGGTGAAGAATCTGAGCTGGAGATATTTTTCCCTGTGGAAAAACTGTACCGAAAGTCTGAAAACTACACCATTCACTGCAGTTTATTAACCCTCTTAAAAAACCCAAACACTGTAAGAAATAATGACAAACACACATCCTGATGTATCACAGCCAGACTTGCTGAGGAAATTACAAAAGACTTACTATAAAACCTAGAACGCAGTTTCTCTTAGATATCATTAACCAAGATCTAGAATTATCACCAGTGAAGCCTTATCCAAGTAGGAGGTTGACTGTGGTTACTCATTTTGGAGCATTTCAACAATCCCATCTTTAACATACGGGAATTTGAAGAATACAAAGGCACATTCAAATAGGCCACATGACATAATCTGGTTAGTGATAATGTAAAACCAAGCTTCACCTAACACTCGTGACAAGCAAACCACGTTAGCTCTTTTGCACAAGATTTCCAAATCATAATGTAAGATTTTCTAAAGTGAATAGCACTGCTGGGTAGCGAACTCAAGCGATGTGAGGAAGCTGATTTTCAGATGAAGTTTACATAGCATCTCCAAGACAGGAAAGGGAAGAACTGGCTCTCTATAAAGCATTTCAAACCAAATACTAAACATAACTGAAACTTTGCTGTTGTTTCCCCCCAGCCTCAGCATTCTGTCTTGTAAGTGGTATATAATGCACTGTAAAGTAGGTGTAATTTTTAAGATGAAGTCAAGGCCAATAATTTGTAACAACAATTTTAGGTCCCAACATAAATGCACCACAACCTAGAGTAACTGCTGACTAGAAATCTTAGAAACAGGTCTTAAAATAGAATCAAAGTGAAACAAACTGACAACGCAAAGCATTTTTAAGATTTTGATTTATAAAATTAGATGCCTGCTGCAAAGCAAACCTTTACCTTCATGGCTCTTTCCATCAGTTTGGAATCACAGGCTGGCAGGGGAGGCTCATGAGATATTTGTAAGGGTTTTGAGACATCAGTCTCATCAATCTTAATAGTGACCTTATGAACAGACGCGGTCCCCGTTTTCCTGCCAAGCACCTGTTGACTTAAAATAAAAAGAATAATTAAACCATGTAACCAGAATAGCAGAAAATATGCTTTTCAATAGCTAATCCTTGATTCTGAGAGCTTTGCATAAAAATAACATGATGTCCGCTGACCTGAAAAAAAGCATTTGTTTTAGTTTACATTTTAGTGCAGAACTGTTGATAAACTGTAACTACATAAAGAAGTTTTAGATGACTGCAAATTCAACACAGAACGAGAAGAGCATTTGGATTGCTTTTTAAAATTTCACCTAGTGCAAGTCAAGCAATAAATATAGTGAAAGACTGACAAAGAATTGTCTAATTCATTTATTTAGATATCCACATAAATACGAGCTGATTTATATCCATTGTTCTCCTGTACATTAATGTACAGCCCTCACTTCTTTGCAAGTCAAGCAACATGTTCAGGTACTTAATTACAAGAATTTAGGAGTCTCATATCAAAAAGAAAGTACAATTCTGAAAATTCTGGCTCAAGCTTAGTAAATGAAAACCCTCCTATTATTTCATTTATTAACAGCCCTTTTAAAATTAACTTACTTCCAAACAGAGAGCGAGAGACATTTCCCTGCATGATATCGCTCCACTTGCACAAGGTCACCCCAGCGCTCTCGAATCAGCATTAGTGTTTGTGAATGCAAAACTTCCAACTGAAGTGCTAAGCAGAAGGAGTCTAATGAATGGAGTTAAGAAAATATAAGACCTCCAAAGAGTCTGTATACTACATAAATCCATTTCTGTACACTACATAAATCCATTTGTCACAAAAGTCAGACAAGATGCTGTCTGAAAACACACTAATGTACTAACCCAGAGATAAAGACATATAAACAGCATCAAATTTTTCTCAAAGTTTTTTTTGCTTTTTTTTTAAACTCTTATCTAGGGCAGAGTGTTAGACAAGAACGTCACAATAGCTTTGTTTTATAGATTTTAATTCTGATCATCCTTCCGGGAAAAGAAGATTACTAACAAAGAAATTCAATTCACCCTAGAGTTACCAATAACCCCATCTTCCATGGTCACCCTAAAACAACATGATTCTATTTGTTTCTGCAGAAACCATTTCACTGAAAACCGTTTCACATTGTCAAGCAATTTGCCCTTTGCACGTAGAAAGTCACTGCGCTACTTCCTGCACATGCTATATCCCATTTTATTATTCACACAGGTGCAATACAGTTAACACACCATCATCACCTTTCTGCAGTTCTTGGTAGTAAGAACTGTCAGCTCCCATACCTTCCAACTCAGCACCGTATTCTATCTCCAAAATTAGTACATGCAGCCAGCTGCTGCTGCACTGACTTACCACACAACCTGCTGCCTTGATACCTCACCTTCACCTTTGCAGATTAAGTGTGTAAAACCAAATTTTACATGCTGGCACGTGAGAATAACTGTTTCCAAGGCCATCATTTTTACTCCACATCCAGACATTTCCCCCTAGCTTAATAGTGAATCCATCTGTCTTGACTTCCAGCTACTAGGAAGAGCAAGGCTACACTACACAGCTTATTCAGAAGCAACTTTCAGAAGGATACGCAGACAGCTGTACATGTCCTGAAGTGGCTTTTCATCAGCAAACAGCCGTGACTGGACCAACTGATGGATGAAGTTGATCTGCATGCTGTGAACCAAGGCTCGACCATCTTTTGTGAATTAAAAATAATTCACATTAGGCATCAGGAAAATAGGTATTTAAAATAATTAAATAAAATAATAAATTAAAAAGAAAAAAGATACAACTGTACTGAGCAATTTCCATACCAGAATTTCTAACACAATAACAAAATCCTTGGTTTACCCTGGAAATTTCAGTCAGTCTACTACACTGCCACAATCTACCACTGTTAAGGTATCAAAAGCATACAGAGCAAGGTGAAAACAGGACAAGTATATACAGCTTCATTATCTTAAGTTGTGATATGTAAAAGACCCTGTATAAACAATATAGCATCCAGCATACAAACCATACAGCATCAGGGATGAACATCATGTTAAAAAGAAAGTGTAAAGGTTTGATTTTTTTTACCACCAGTTTCCTTGTCTTCAACCAGAATTTCCAGTTTGAGAAGGCGCCAGGGGATGTCAGGGTCATCACCCATCACTGTCAAGGTGGCCTCAAACTCACCCTCAACTCGGAACTTCACACGGCCATTGGCTAAGGAAGAAAAAAATGTTTTATTTCACTCAGTCTCTTCAGATGCCTCAAAATATCAGTGTGGTAGCTCCTGGCACTCACAATGGATTACTTCCCTATAGTTTCTGCTCTGTTGCATATGTTTCTGTGCAACTGTAAAGACTTCACAGTTGCTTCTGCAACAGAACCAGTGTCAATAAGCAGCATGGACAGACGTCCCAAACTGTCCTGAACAGCAGTACTTTAGTCAAGATAACTTGTTAACACTTGTGTTACTATAATACAGAGTAACATTGAGCTGACAACCAGCCTGACAAGTTACACAAACAAAACGTCTATCTTAATTTTTCTAATTCTTTGCTATATCAAATACCTTGAATACCTTAATCAATATTCAAAAGAGGTTCAGAATGCGATCTCAGCCCAGGCTAAAATCTAGTCCTGGAAACACATCTCACTGCAAACCATTTATTTAACATTAAAATATTATAACTCCATTTTCATGTGAGGAAGATAATCTTTTGCATAATTCATATATATGCACGCAAGCAAAGATTACGTACACTATTTATCTAATTGACCTATATATCCTCACACCTTTATGAACACCGCTATCACTTTCAAGAACTGGGAACAAAGACTGTCAAAACCATGTAAGCAAGGTCATAAAGAGAATGAGTGGCAGAGCAAACAATTTAGTACAAGTCCTTACTATAAACAGTGGGTCAACCTTCTTCTCAATCACCTACAAAATATGCCATATACCTTTAAAATTATAGACATATAGAAATATTTCTATAGAAATTTTAACCATTTTAACTCATGAAGTTTCATTTTCAAAGGCATCCCACACATACTCTTAAAACAAACCAAAGCCCAAACCAGAAACTAACAGTCATTGAAACTTCTGTTAGACAAAAATGGCTCTAATACTGATATTGCAAGCATTCACATAAGGACCAGTGAAAACTGATTTTTCAGAAACATCTTCGATCTAGGTCTGTGGGGTATGGTTTACACATGGCTAACCTTGTCTTAGTTAAAAGCGTGGACTAGGTCCATTTCAGTCCTATCTCTGAGATTCTGCAAAAACCTAGTCCAGTTTATAGCCATCCTTCCTGTAAAAAAGGTCATCTTAATGTCTACCACTACTTGGGCTAAACGAAAACAGAGATCTGAAAACACATTAAGAGATCTGGCACTGCAGTGAGCCACAGAACAAAAGGCATGCATAAATATGAACAGATTCTATGCACGGAGATGAGTATCAAAAGAGATTAAAAAAGCAACATTAGAGTGACTTGTTTAAGCTGAAGTTCAAAGAGTTTCTACAGAAAGACCTAACAGTTTAATTAAATTGCATTTTAAAATTAACTTAAGGTAAAGCAGTTACATTGTTAGGCCTAAGACTCAGCAAGACAGTATCTACAACCTTTTGCCATTACCTGCACAGGATTTCTTCTCGAAAGCAAGTAATATTCAGCAATATTATCAGTGGCCTCATTTTTCAAAAGGGGAAAAGACATATTTTGATGTCATACAGAGACAGGATCCCAGTCTTAATAGCTTAAGCATGCCTAACAGTCTCTTTTAGCTATCTTTCAGCTTTGCTTTAGCACCAAAGCAAAACTTTTAAATCCGCCCGCAATAACGTATTCTTCAAAAAGTAATTCCAGTTCTCACCAACTGTAAGATTTGCCAGCTGTGGAGGGAGATCTGTAGTCACTAGTCGATGTCGAAGAATCTGGTTTAGCTGATGAAGTGTGGTTTGCTTCTCACTCTTTGTTATTGGGTCAGGAGGGATTATTTTGTCCTGTTAAAATAAACATGAACAAGTCTACATATCTCAAATACGTATAATACATTGACAGTTGGAACAGTGAAAACAGACTAGAAGTCTGAAAATATAAATACAACAGGCCATTACAGACAAGCGAAGTTTTGTATCTCACATCCAGATTTGTTTTCTAGTTGATTGAATTTTACCTGACACTGACCACTGAGTAAAATCGCTCCACTTGGATCAATTAAATAAATTCAGGGCCTTACATCAGGCTAAACTTGTTTTTAAATACTAAGATCTGAAAGCCAATCCTTATCTGTAGCTATAGATCTAAGTCACAGGTACTACTGTTTATGTTACTTCACAAAATCCTGTTATTCTGCATTTTATCAGTACGAAAAGGCAGCAGCATTAAAGAGAGCTGTAAATATTTCAGTACATTTCAAAATACAGGCAAAACCTCTAAGAACAACAGATGTCAGTATCTCCTTTTCACACTTCATTTTTCTAGGATGGTGGCTTAGCGTGTGCAAATACTTGAAGAACCAAGGAAGAAGAGTTGCTACTATACTCATCCTAGAGCAGAACTAGTTTAAATGGAAAGAATGTTTTACTGGGAAAGCGTAACTTGTTCAAATAGGAAGTGCTCTGCATGAGAAACTGACACTACAGAGACTTGGCACTAGGCCTGTATTAAACTACAGTTCCATTTGCACATAGGCAATTAGTTTCATTAACATGTATTTGATACTGGGGGGATTTTCACACACCCCCAGACATATGGTAGCATTATTTACCCTAATGCAGGTAGGCAGACGCGGGTATGATCCAGTTGTCAGAACATCAATAGCATACGGGATAGCAAAACTAGGTAGACGAGCGTGAACCAAAGCATCTCTAGCTAGCGATGCCAGACGATCAGCAGTGTCCACAAACAGAATGGCCTGCTGATCTAAGAAACTTGATATCATCTGCAGAGGACAACAAGGGGGGGGGGAAAGTTACGCATCCTAAAAATGCACAAATCAACGCCCCTTTATATTCAGTTCATCTAGTGCACATGACTGAGATGATTTCACCTGTCACTTCCAATTCAAGTAATCACATCTATAAAACAAAGAAAGAATGAATATTCTGGCCAGTTCTTACACATGTATGCAAGGACACTTTAAATCTGCATGCCATTTCTGATGCTGTGGAGGATCTGTAAAGCCTCACAGCTCTTTATCTGATGATTGCTACTGGAATGCAACCATACTTGTTTGTAATCACTCGGGGCTTGTTTTTTGCAACATTCTGGACTTTATTCTTATTTAACCAAGAGCAGGATGAAAGTGATAATAAGAACTAACACACTGAGATCACCATCCTTCCTGTCCTATCATCTAACCCCAAAGCACTCCTGAAACTATGTGCAGACAAGCCTTTCATTTTTTTGCCACTGATGAGTTTTTGGGAACATGAACTGTTAAAAGACAAGATTATACAATTTCTAAATCAGAAGAAATTGGTTATAATTTTATATTTATCTGTCTGTGAAATGGGCTTGCTTTTTTTTTTTTAACTTCTATAGTAAGGAGAAGCTAGGGTGTACCAAAATCCCATATCACTTAGAGATTATTTCATACCAAACTCTGTTGCTAACTTACCGCACATTTTTCCACCTTTCCAGCATTATTAGCCCATTTGACCAAGGCTAACAAACGAACAAACAGTTGACGAGTACGACTTGCAAACTGCACTATTTCTATTTTTCTGGAAAAAAACAAACGTACATTAAGCCAGTGCTTAGATATATAATAAAGCTGCAATTTAACTCTGTGCCAGTAAAAAAAGCTGTAAATATAACTTCTAATTGTGTTAATGGAGGCAACACTAATATATGGCTTGTTTGATTAGAACATGGAAAAAAAATAGCTCAGTGTTCTGAATACCTAAATGCTAACAACATACATGGATTCTAACCAACCAAGATTGTCTAGGGAAACAAAAAAGCATACTCACATGAATTAATCACTGATTTTAAGAGAAACAATTCCATAACGAGCTCAACTGAATTATTTTCATACCTTTTACAGAATTTCCCCAAGGCTTATAATTAAGTTTAAAGTAGACAAGGCAATATACCTAAGGGTTACAGGACCTGATAGTAACATTACACTGACATTCACTAAAAAAAAAGGGACAATAAATCAGTTACTAAACAAAGTATCACTTCAGTAATTTTAAGACATCTTTATACAGTATGTTACAATATGCTACCATTTTGCCAGGAAACAGGCTGGTGGTGGGGAAGACCACAAAAAACCCCTACCTTTTTACTTTCTTCTCTATTCCTGACTTGCAAAGAAATTGGGATAAGGAGAAATTACTGATAGTCAATATTCCTCCCACGGTGCTTTGTATGAGATAGTCAAAATGAGGCAGTGTATTTTTGCATGTCTTTAGAGTTATTTTTCGTAAAAAAGAATGTAGGGGCACACACAGATTTCCCCCCTTTATTACAGATCTACATTGTAGATGCATTAGACAGGACATGCAGATCTACAATGTAGATCTCTAATACCATACACTCTGAAATACCATTTCATCTACTGTTCATAGAGGTTTTCCTCCCTTTCTACATGTTCAATTCACTAATTTCACCACGGTTTTCTAGTTACTTTGAAAAAAAAAACCCAAACAAATCCAAGATGTTTTCCTGATATGGTTTTCTAAAGTAACAAAAGCATTTGGACAAAAAGAACATTAATCAGTGCAACAGATATTGGCCTCTACCAAACAGAAGTTGCACCTCCTTCTGATCCTAATCTGTAAAACACACACTTATAATATAGATAGAGCCTGTTTCTGCTGAAAGTGTTGGTGTAATGAGGTTAACTCTTTTGTGCAATACATACAGCATAATCTGCTTGTAGCAGATGAACATTTAGACCAGAGGCACAACTAATACCATCTGGTCCAGTTTCTTGCATTACATACTACAAACCTCATCCAAGAACTTGGGCATTAAGCCAATAACTTCTCTGCGTTCTAGCGCATATGTTTTAAAATGGCATTCAGCCTGGTATTAAGATTTTAAGTGGTGGACAAGCTGCTGTATGTACATACTGCTCTAATAGCAACTACACTATGAAAACAAGATGTTGAGAATTTTGCAAGATTCAGAAAAACTTTATGGGATTTGAAAGATGTCTACAGTGAGACTTTAGAAAGTCAGTACTCTCTCAGACAAACTCCATATAAAAGTTGCTAAAATCTAGTAGTTATGTCAATCAAACTTCTGTGGTGAAAACAGCACAATAGCAAGAAAAATTCTGTGACCAGAAATCAAAGGTAAACAAACCTCCCCCCTGGCCCCCTCCCCCCAAAACAGAAAAAAAGCACAGCAATTTAATAATCAAAATTATTGATAAAACTAGACACAGTATTCCAGTAACTGTTCCATTAATACCACATGTATGAAGTTACAGAAGACTTGTTACTTCTGCTTGACAGAATCCTGCTTCCAGAACCACCACCATCATCCCTGAATGACAACTGCGTCGGGAATTCACATCCATCTACCTCTCGACTAAGAACCCAAAGTCTTTCAATTATGCTGCATTCCTTAGTCCTTCATTATAGATACAGCACCTCATGCTGGGCTGCACAAAAAATTTTATTCAAGGAAGATGAAACTTAAGGAAAGAGTATATTTACAAGGCCTATAAAAGCAATGCAAAGCACATTAAAAAGCTTTCTAATGACCACGGTACTCAGTGCATTCTTTAGTCTTTACTGGTAAGTTCTCATCTCAGGGGTTTCATATCCTTCAGACTAGTGGCTGAGTCTGGGGGAGTGAAGCATTAGCTACAGTAGAAGAGTATCAAGTTAAGGACCACTTAAGCAAGCTTGACATACAAAAACCCATTGGAGTGGATGGGATACATCCATGGGTGCTGAGGGAGCTGACCTATGCCACTGTAAAGTTGCTCTCTATTATTTTCAAAAGGCCATAGTGATCAAAGGTCTTGATGACTGGAAAAAAGCAAACATCATGCCCTTCTTCATGGAAGAAGGCCAAGAAGGATCTAGGGACCTATAGGCCAGTTGCCCTAAGCTCAGTTAAGAAAAAAATTCATAGAATGAATCTTTCCAGAAGCTACGTCCAAATAAATAACAAACATGAAAGTAGCCTGGGAACAGCCAGCACAGATTTGCTAAGGGCAAACCATCCCTGAACAACGCAATTGCCTTCTACAGGATGAACAGCTCTGTGATCAAGGGGAGAACAGAACATGCATTTACATTGACTTTCGCACAGCTTTTGACAAGATCTCCCACAGTATCCTTGTAGCCAACCTGGTGAGATATGGCATGGGTAAGTGGACTATAAGGTAGGTGAAAAACTGGCTGCACTGCCAGGAATAAAAGGCTGTGACTGGCTACCAGTTGGGATTTCTTTAATGCTGATTACTACTGGTGTTCCTTAAGGGTCGATTCTGGGGCCAATACAATTTAACACCTCCATCAACAACCTGCATGATGTGAAGGAATGCACTCTTTGGAAGTTTGCAGGTGATGCCAAACTGGTGGGAGCAAACAGAGGGACCTCAGCTGGCTGGAGGAACTGGTTGACAGGAACCTCATGAAGTTCAGCAAAACCACATGCCAAGTCCTGCATCTGGAACCAAACAATCTCCTGTGACAGCACAGGCTGGGTACTAAGCAGCAGGTGGGCAGCAGCTCTGCAGAAGTGGACAGCAGCTCTGCAGAAGAGGACCTGGAGGTCCTGGTGGACAGGCGAACAGGCATCAGCAATGTGCCCCTGCAACAATGACAGGCTGTATTAGCACCGCTGCAGCCTAGGTCAAGGAAGGTGATTATTCACCTTAAGTCAGCATTTGTGAGACGGCATCTGAAGCATTATGTTGTTTTACACTCCCTAGCCAAGACAGATACTGCTGTACAGAAGTGGGTTAGGGGCTGGAACACGACATACAAGGAGGGACTGAGGAAGCTGTGTTCGTTTATGCTTAAGAGGAGAAGGCTACGGTGAGATCCTACTGCTGTCTTCAAATATCTAAAAGGGGTGTTATAGAGAAGATAGAACCAGACTCTTCTCAAAAGTGCAAAAGGCTGAGGGACAACAGCCACAAACTAAAATAGTGAAAAACTAGTTAGACACTAGGAAAACAAACACACACACACAGAGGCAGTCAAAGAAGTAGCTTGCCCAGAAAGATTGCAGGATTTCCATCCCTGAAGATATTTAAAACTCAACTGGATATGACCCTGAGCAACCTGAACCAACTTTGAAACTGTCTTTTACTTCAAGCAGAGGGTTGGACTAGGTATCTCTAAAGTACCATTCCAACCAAAGTTATTATCCGTGTCTATGAAAGGAGTGAAATAACAGTCATTTCGTCATCAGAAAAGAATGGAACTCAATGTTTCACAAAAGTTAGGTGTGTAATTGCACTGTTGTTGAAGTCATAAATAAAATGTTTTTACAATAGTTCTGAATGCCTTTTTTTTTAAATTTTGTGTAGATTGTAGAGTGTTGCTGCAAGTTTGAGAAGTAACGCTCTTGTTCGCTAAGTAATGCAAAACCAGTAGGAAAACTGCCTGTGTTTAGGAAAACAGTATGTTTATGTAGTTCTTGGACATATTTTAACAATACTTCTCTTCTAAATATT